TAGATTTTAATTAAAGCACATGTTTTTCAGGATTTATTCGGTATAATTTCATTATAAATTTACTTTGAGACATCTTATATTATTTCTCTCTACATTCTTCTTGCTAGGAACATCTCGTTGTTCCGCCTTCATTGTACGCTCTTACGAACGACAGTATTCTTGCCTGGCAAAACTAAGCTTGTCGCTCGATGAGATTCGAATAGTTACCCAGCCAGAAACATGAAGAAGTAGATGGGTGATAGTGAAAGAGAAAGAGAGAAAAAGAGAAAGAGAGAGATTGGGAGGAAACGGGGATGGAGAGATGGAGTTGTTCGCGATCCGGGGACAAAACAGGATGCTGTATTGACGCAAAATTATTTAGACGAAAATACTCGCGCTCGAAACAACACCAAGCAACATTCTTGTAATTGCTAAGAAGCTCTTTCGTGCTACTAAAATTACAGAATTATTCCAAAAAGAACTGTTAATAACATAAAAATGTTTATATGGAAAGTTCTAATATCGATATATCATATTTCAATTTGTCATCATTTTGATAATAATGATTATTACGATAATTATATTGATAGATTGTACAATAGAATATTTCTCAAATTAAAATAATTTAAGAACAAAAAAAGTCGGATAACTTTTCGATGTTTGCAGAGACAATCTACTTATAGTTTTATGCAAAATTATTCTGTAGCACTCTTTTAGAATTTGCGGAAATTTAGCATTTAAATGACGATATGAGATTTAAAAAAGATTGACATTTTCTACGCTTAGGGCGCGGTCCTTCGTGGAGAGCTAACGAAGGAACTCTCTTAATAAGCGTTGACCTCGTTTTCAATTTCCTTCGCCAATCGAAGAAAATGCTGGATCGCCGTCGACTATCTCTGTCGAGTACTTTTTAGCATTACTTTAAAGGAATCGTGCGGGCTCAGCAATTCTGTTCTTGCGAATCTTACGCATTGGCACGTGGCCAAAATCTTTCCACCCGAAACCGGTTTTGTTATCTTTGCCGCCGAGAGAATGGCGTGTTCTCTTCTCTCGCGTGTAATCTTATAAAATCCTACGTCTTTCTCTTTCGCAAGTAAAATACGAATCTTTAAAATCAAGACTCGGGTGCGCTTCGCCGAAATGCCGTAGGATCCTTGGCGGTTTCCTGTGCCCTCGCGCTTTACTTAACTTGTCCAAAGAACTTTTTACCGAGATCCGTCTTTCGACTGGCTGACCGTGAGTTTTGAAAGCAAGATCACAGGAAATCGTTTTTCTCAGAAACACATATAAATCACTTAATGTTTGGACAAATATATATCTTTTTGACATCTTGTTTAAATACAAATAATTTATATTTTTAACAAATAAATCACAGATACATATTTTTATGTACATTTTATGCGAAATTAAATTACATTATTTTTATTCGTACAAGCGATTATTTCGGCTGATGTTTTAGATAAGAGCGCTCTGCTCTTACGTCGTTTGGCAACGCGATCTCCTTTTACGATTCGAGTTGTAGGAGCGCGCATTGCAAAGTCGATATTCCTTGCGCGACGAATCGTGGAACTCTTTCCGGATGTATTGGGAAACGCAATGAAAAGTTCACGTAGAGACTTGGATCGCGCGCCGGGAAACTTCTGTCTCGAATTACTGAGGCAGAATAAATAAGCAAAACGGGATGTACACGAATCAAAGGATCCTCTCTCTCTCTCTCTCTCTCTCTCTCTCTCTCTCTGTCTCTCTTCCTCGTCTTTTCCTCTGCCTCTACCTTTCTTTGCTTCTTTCACCGTGTAGGAACTCTTTAACGAGTACCAACGATAATAGATATACCCCTCTTTCTCTCTGTATCCCTGGGCGTTCCTCGTTGACGTTATTATTATCGTCGGCAATTATAAAGACATCGAGCAGGGTTATATCTTCCTTTCCTTCCTCAACTTTCTCTCGATCAACGAGTCA